TTTTTTTAACATGTTATTAAAAATGAGTTGAATAAAAATGACAGTTAAGGGAGTCAAAACAAAGGTTAAATCTACCAGTTGGATGGACCAGAGGAATGCTCTAGCGGTCCTCCAGCACTCCAAGCCAGTCTGCTCTATTATTTATCTCATTCTGGAAAAGTTTAAAAAGGTATAAGGCAGAGATTACAATGAGAAACATAGGTAACAAGTGTTTAGGACAGTATTAAGGAAAGTGGAGCAAGAAAAGGGTAAGGGTTCCTTGATTCCATCTCCTAGGTAGAATGGGTAAACTGGTCATGTTGCCATAGAGGAGTTCTCTTTAATGAGAAGAGAGGGAGAGGGGGAAGGAGGGGGAATGAGTGGCAGAGGGGGAAAGAGGAAGGGAGGAAGAGGGAGGAAGAGAGGAAGGGAGGAGGAAGGAGAGGAGAGAGATATGACTAAATGGACTGACAGAGAGAGGGAGAGGGAAAGGGAGGAAGAAAGAAGAAGAGGGAGGGAGGGGAAGAGAGAGAAAGAGCCAATCAAATGGATAGAGAGACAGACTTAGAGATGAATGAGAAGAAAAAGAAAAAAGGAGTCAGGGACAGGGAAACAGGAAACAGATGGCAAAGGGAAGGAGGGAGGGAGGCAGGCAGGAGAGAGAGAGAGAGAGCGAGAGAACACCTTCCTAGAGGGAAGGGGAGTGGAGGTAGGCAGTCTCCAGTGGAGGGCTGCCTTAAGGAAGGAGAGTAGACACTCCAAGGGCGGGAAGTACGAATAGTCTTAGAATGAGAACTGCCTCAATGGGGTCTTGGTGTCTGGCTTTTATCTCCTCTTCCTTTAGGGACATGGTTGGGAGAGGGCAAGGGTCATGAGGAATACGGATTTATCTTCATTTGGGCATCTGGGCTATGTGATGAGCTCCATTTACAAACATCAGGTGATCAAAAAAGGTGGAGGGCCAGTTTTGCTCTGCTAACTCCAACCACAGACACCTGGAGGTGTTTTCCAAATTTTTAGCAACATTCTTCCTGCTTCTTGTAGAACACAACAGAGATCACATTTTTGTGCACTTACTAGCCTAACTCAGGGGATGAAGAAGAGAGATAACCTCAGAGTAAAAACGATTTTGAGGAAAGGTGAATGGCCTTTGAGAAGAATAGACAGTGGTCTGTGAGCATGTCTGTCTGAGTATAGAGTCTTCTGGCCTCCTATTCAGAGATAAAAGTCATCTTCAGATGATTGATAACAATTGAGTTCCTTTTAAAGGATCCATCTTTAGGCAGATAGGGGAAATTCAACGTGTCTAGCCCTGCATTTTGCTATTTATCAAGAACCTTAAGCTCAAAGTAATCAATATACCAAAGCAAATTTTTTAGGGGTGGCATTAAACTCCCTCAATTGCTAACCTTGCATATTGAGCAACTGAAGTTTAGTTGTTGAGTAAATTAGTTAAATATAAATGAGATAAAAGTGTATCTGTAGGCTTTTGATAGCTTCAAAAATATTTTTCTTGTAACTTAGCATGTTAAAATTATTGTTACAGTAAATTAATACATGCTCATATAGTGCCCGAGACTTTTCTAAGTAATTTAAAATACTGAAACATAAATTGCTGAACAATTTGTTTGAAATAAATATTTTTTAGGATCTTGTTTTTACATGCTATAGAGAAACTTGCTATATTTGTGTTTGCTGTTCTATGAAAAAGCATATGTTCCTAGAAATTACAAAATGTATATTTATAAAATGTTAGTATATGACAGCTCAAAATTGATTACTTTCTAGGTTTACACTAAAAATAAGTTTACTAAGGATTCCTAAAAATCAAATATATGGTAACTAAAACTAAAATAAGGGAAACAACTCTGTGAGGAAAAGAAGGTACATTTTAGAAAGAAAGTTTTAAGTATGAGGCTGTGTATTGCTTAAGGAAAAAGGAGAATAATTTTTCCTGAAGTAGAATGACTGATTGTTCCACAATAAGAAATAAGAAGAGTATAGGACAAACCAATAGATAACAGAAAATTATAGAAATACTCACAAAAGAATTTCATGTGCAGTCAAACATGCTGAATAGACTTGTTATAAGTGTTTTTTTAATGAACCCTAATATCAAAATACCCAAATGCAATACTACAATCTAGTCTCATTTTGATAAACAAGGTTCCACAACAAACATACGTGTGCAGGTATCTTTTTTGTAGAATGATTTGAGTTTCTCTAGGTATATTCCCTATAGGGGAATTGCTGGGTCATATGGAAGGTCAATTTCTAGTTTTTTCAGAAATCACCACACTGTCTTCCTTGAACAATTATAATGCTAGAAGAAAGCAATTGGCAGTAGTGGGAAACTGTCAGGGGAGGGAGATGGGATTGGCAATGGAGGGAAACTGCCAGAGGAGGGAGGGACATACCTCACCAACAAGGGTACCTGCAAGATCAATGTTTATATACCTAACCCTGAATTGTACTCCACATCTTTATAATAAATCATGAAATTTTTAAAAAGAATGAATAAGCAAAGCACACAGGGAAAAAAAAAAGGGAAAAACAATGTTCCCTTGAAGTGTGTGAAGTGTGTGTTTTGGGATTTTTGTTTGTTTTGTGTGTCTGTGTTTTGTTTTGTTTCTGTTTTTTTTTTTTTTATTTTGAGTTAGGGTCTTGCTCTGTGGCCCAGGCTGGAGTGTAGTGCAAGATCATGGCTCATCACAGTCTCAACCTCCTAGGTTCAACCTTCTGCCTCAGTCTCCCAAGTAGTTGGTACTACAGATGCATGCCACCATGCCGTTACTTAAAAAAATTTTTTTTTTTTTTTGTAGAGACAAGGTTTCACTATGTTGCTCAGGCTGGTCTCGAACTCCTGGACTCAAGCAATCCTCTCGGCCTCCAGCCTCCTAAAGGGCTGGGATTAAAGGCATTAGCCACCATGTCTGCCCCCTTGAAGTGTCGATAAAAGACTAAGAAAGGTTTTCCTTACCTTTTCAGTGATCTACCTAAGAAAAAAAAGAACAAATTTTGTATTTTATCAAGATAATTTCTTGTGCTTTATGTTGTCTTTTATTAGGTCTTTTAATTACTTAAGGAAACTGAATTTTCTTAATATTAAGAGACCTAAGTTTTTTTAAACTGTGTAACTTTTCTGTATTTGTCTTTGTTTCATAATGACTGATGATACCCTTTAATCAATTGTTTTATGACTTTCTATGTACTTCCTAAAATTATACTCTAAACTAAGCCTTTTTTTAAATCCCAAATTAACTTTAGAACATTCCAGAGGTTCCCAAAAATTTCTCAAAAGAAAAGAGATATTAAACCAATGAGGCTTATTTGCTACATGACATTATTGGGAAGCTCTGTTGAATAAGAAATGATGTTTAAACTTTTTGAGTTACATTTGTATGGATGTTATTAATATGCATTCCAGAAATCATGAGATTCTTAGAAATTTCATATATTTTCAATAATAATTTTGGCCATTATGTTAAAATGTTGTATACCACAGAAACAACCAAATTTCCTTGTTATTATTATGTTTGTTTTGAGTTGGAGTCTCACTCGGCCGCCCAGATTAGAGTGCAGTGGCTGCTCCCGGCCACCACAGCCTCGACCTGCTGGG